ATATTGGAAGTAGTCAAGATTGCAAGGCAAACTTGGGTGCACGGGGGGTGTGTGTGTGTAGGGGGTGGAAGTAAGGGGAGATGGTTAGAGAGAAGGGAGAGGGGGAGGATTGGGGATGGCGTGGGGGAATGAGATGGGGGGAGGAAGGATGGATATGGGAGCAGGCAAGTATATATCTCAACTAAGGGAGCCATTTTAGGGTTGGCAAGAGACTTGTTTCTGGAGGGGTTCTCAGGCCCAAGGAGAGGTCCCCAGATTCTTCCCTGGGCAGCAGAGGAGAGGGTGCCTGAACTGGCCTTGGCCCATAACCATACTGATGAATATTTTGCATATCACCATAGAACCTTCATCTGGCGATGGATGGAGATAGAGACAGAGACACATATTGGAACACTGGACTTAACTCCCTAGATCCAAATGAGAAACAGAAGGAGGGAAAACGTGAGTAAGATAGGCAGGACCAGAGGGAACCTTCATCCGACGATGAATGGTGATAGAGACGGAGACCCATATTGGAGCACTGGACTGAGCCCCCCAAGGTCCAAATGAGGAGCAGAAGGAGGGAGAACATGAAAAAGGAAATCAGGACCGCGAGGGGTGCGTTCACCCACTGATACAAGGGGACTGATCGAATGAGAGCTCACCAAGGCCAGCTGGACTGGAACTGAACGAGCATGTGATCAAACCGGATTCTCTGAATGTGGCTAACATGGCGGCTGACTGAGAAGCCATTTACAATGGCACTGGGTCTTGTTTCATCTGCATGTACTGGCTGTTTGGGATCCTAGTCTGTTTGGATGCTCACCTTCCTAGACTTGGAGGGAGGGGGGAGGAACTTGAACTTCCCACAGGGTAGGAAATCCTGACTGCTCTTTGGACTGGAGAGGGAGGAGGAGGGGGAGTGGTGGGGAGGAGAGGGAGTGGGGGAATGGGAGGGTATGGGGAGGAGGGGAGGAAGTGGAAATTTTTATCAACAAACAAATAAATTAATTAATTAATTTAAAAAAATCCCGCTCCCCATTCAGACCTACTGGAACCTCAAAATATGACCTTAACTAAAAATGGAACTTCGTAGATGTAAATTAGAGCCATCATTAGGACCTCAGGTGAGGTTGTCCAGGATCATCACAGGCTCTTAACCAATGACAGTGTCCATCTCAAAGTAAAGAATGGTCACCTGGAGCCAGCAGCGGAGGGAGGTCACGGGAGGTGACAACAGAGGTAACTACTGGAGCCACAGCATAGAGTTTCTTCTGGCACTTCCAAAGGACCCAGCCTGACATGGGTTCTGGTTTTGCATTCATTACCTTCAAATTTCAAGGGAATAAGTCCCATTACTCTAAGTCATTCTGCTTATAGGACCCTCTTATGGTTGTCACCGCAATGAATGTGCTGTCTTTAAAATATTTCTGTTTAGCCTGGAGCTACAGCCTGGAGGAGAGCACTTGCCTGGTTTGTGGGAAGCCCTTGATTCAATCTCATAGGTGAAGAAGAGAAAGACAGGGATTTTCTTGATACAGAATATATTTTCAAAAGTCAAATAAAAATTGGGCATGATTGCACATGCCTCTAATCCCAGCCCTTTGGAATTGAGGCAGGAGGATTGAAGTTCAAGGTTATTCCTCATGTCACACTGAGTTTGAGACCAGCCTGGGTTACGTGAGTTTCTGTCAAAGAAGAAGGAGAAGACAAAGAAAAAAGAACACGGAGGAAGAAGAAGAAAGAAGAAGAAAGAAGAGAAAAAAGTACAGTTTTTCCCAATTTGAATGTCACACAGTAAAATCCACTTTTGTGTGTGCAATTCTTTGAACTCTAGCACACGTGTTGGTATGTGTGACCACCCACACAATCAAATAAACACAGCCCCATCTTCACCCAACCCTTCCATCACAGCCCCCAAACTGTCAAGTCCTAGTATCATCAGGAACCTGCTGCTCTTTGATAAAGTAATGATGTTTAAGAAGGTCTGATAAATGAGATTATACATGAAACAAGCTTGTGAAATTCTCTTCCTTCAGCATCTGCTTCCAGCACGTGTCCAGCTTCCTGTGTCCCCGAGCCTGCTGCTGCCTGTGGCTGGCTCATCTTCATCCGACAGTGGATGATGCGCAAGCTCTTTCCAGCTTTGGGTAATTATGATTGGAGCCGCTCTAAACATTTATGCCTGGGCTGGGGGCTGTGGTGGCACACACCCTTAATCCCAGCACTCAGGAGGCAGAGGCAGGTGGATCTCCATGAGTTTGAGGCTGACCTGGTCTACAGAGTTCCAGGACAGCCAAGCCTACACAGAGAAACCCTGTCTCAGAAAAAAAAAAATACGCCTTATGTGAGACAGTTTATATGAAAATAAGTTTTTGTGTTTCTAGGTAAGTGCCCAGGGATGGTTTCCTCACAGCAGTGGGTCACTTTATATGGCTGGTAACTATGAGTTTGGATACTCTGGTATCTGGTTCCTCAGCTCCACCCCCCACACCCAAGGCTCCACCCTTTATCAGCAGTCAGTTACTAACTGCAGCTGTACTGATACCCTCTTAACAGTACAGTAGGCTTTGCCGTGCCTTTGCCTTGAATCCCCATGCTGGCTAGCAGTGTGGGGTGTCTTCTCATGGGCTTGTCACCAGATGTCATCTTTGGTGATGTAGCTGTTCCAGTCTTCTGTTCATTGAACTTTCTTATGTGTTCATTTCTTCTCTTGGGCTACGAGCTCTTTACAGATTCTGGATCCCATGTTGGAGGTGTGGGTTGTAAACACTTTTGTGGTCGGTAGCTTGTATATTCGTTCTCTTAACTCTTCCCCCCCATAGAAAAAATTTCAATCTGACAAAGTCTGGCTGATTAATTTTTTTCTTTTGAATTATTTTTGGGTGCCATGCTTAAGAACTCTGGCTAGCTCCATGCCCGACATTGCTATGAAAGGTTTTTCTTGTTTTGCCTTTAGATCTCTGATTCCGTTTGTGTTAGGTTTTGTTTAGTATGAGGTTTGTCTTTTTAGGATAAAAGTATTTGAATGCTGCCTCCATGTTTTGCCCTCCAGTTCACAGGTTGAAACTCAATGCTAGTATTTATAAAGGATGGAATCTATATACTAGTGAAGTCATGCCCTTGTCTCCTCTCTTAACGCTTAATCTTGTGTGGTAGGTCAGGGGCCTGGGTAAGAGACCACACTGAGAAAGATGGATTCACCTTAAGATAATATGTTTTTCTTCCCACAACTTCTGCCCTCCTACACACTCCATAGGAGCTACCATGGGGGTCAGTTGGATCAACTCACCCTTCTAAGTCTTGACATTATGAAGGTGTAACTACATTTTTCTTCTTTTCTTTTTTATTTGGATGCTGGCTAGAGTCTAAGTTGTACTTTTAAATCCCCCAACCAATGAACTGGGCTTCCTTCTTTTCCTAAACCTCCTCTATCCACTGCGTGGCTGCCTGCAGCCCGTGGCTGTCCTCAAGACCAGCTTATTCAAGTGGTGTGGCTTCTGTTCCTTTTTCTCAGCCTCCTTCCCCAATCCAGACAACTCTCCTGCCCTTGGGTTGTCATTTTCAACTCTAATAAATTATTCTCAAGCCTCCTTTGGAGGCCACTCTTAGCCCAGGGGCTTCTGTTTGTGTCTTGTAAATATTTAGTTTATTGATGAACTAAGAACCCAAAAGAGAGGACCCAACTTGCCAGGTATCATATGGTAGCTTTACTAGGACCTCCAAAGACTCCCAGCAACGCTTCTTCCACGGCTTTTAATTCTTTAGCCTGCTCTGCAACCCTAGATGGCATCATATTAAAGGTTGTGGCTTTTATGTGGTATTAGGTCGTGAGGGCTCTGCTATCGTGAGGTGACCGGAGCCTTGTGATGCGTTCATACAGCATCCCTCCTCATGCTCTCCCTCCTCCTCTAGAAGAGGGGAGGCAATGAGGAAATCCTGGAGGCAGACACCGGGCCCTCATCGGACCCCCAAACTGCTGCCATCTTGGCCTTGAACTTCCCACCCTCCACATCTACAGGCCAGACTTCCTGCTGTTTGTGAATGCCCTAGCCTAGGGTATTTTGCTATAGCAGCACAGAGGGAGAGAGATGAATCCCACTTATTGAAGAAGGTAATTCCTTATCTATAATAGTTTATATTCATATTTGTGTAGCTATTTAAACAAATGCTTAAAATAAAAAATAGTTCCGTCAACTATGGATTTTCTCATCAGATATAAACCATTGTTTTGGTAGCAAAGAATTAAAGAAATATTACCCCATTTCCTTCTTTCCTTCCTTCCTCTCATTTCTGAGACAGGCTCTTGGTATGTATCCCTGTCCATCTTGGAACTTGCTTTGTAGACCAGGCCCTCAAATTCCCATCAGTCCCCCTGCCTCTGCCTCTCGAGTTCTGGGATTAAAGGCAAGCATCACTACATTTGGGAATAAAAAGAATTCCCGATTCCCTTTCTCTTTTTGGGTGGCTGAAATGAACCATGATCACCCAGTGGACAGCAACGGAAGGACTCTCTCGTGTGCCATGACCTGCTGACGTGAGAAGAAGGAAGCTTGCTCTCTAGACTGGCTCGCAGGGGTGTGCGCTCTACAATGCCCATCTGCTGCATTTTCCTCCTCATCTTGTCTCTTGTGACAGGAGCCATATTCTCCCCTCATTTTGCCAGTATCTTCCAGAAACTCACATCACAGTTGATACCCGTGCTCCAGTCATATAAGATGGGCCATGTAGAAGTTTTCACCTGTAGACCTGTCTTGCCATGGTCAATGGTCTTGGCTTGATTTTCAAAAGGCTCTCGTGGCTCAGTTTAAGTGTCACACACTTCCTTCGTGACCGATAGATCCGAGTGGTCTGTTAGAGCCCCCAGAGCCATTCCCCCGACTAGAAGCATCCTTGTTTGTAGGGATAGAGGAATGTCAGAGGGTGTCACCTCCAGCACTCCTTCCCTAACAAACCTGCCCAGGACCCTGGCTGCAGCTGGAGGTGGCGGGCTGTAAAAGCTCACCTCACGGAGATGCCGTGGTGAACTGCGTAGGTGTCTTCAGTCCTAAGAGGTTGGCTTCTGTCTACTTCACCTCCAGGACTTCATCACGCCTTTCCTCCATGCCGATTCTCACCGAAGGTGGGGTAAATGGGTGGGCTTTCTGAAGAGTGCGTGGCCATGCTGCCACCCACAGGGTGTCTATTCACCCATTACAATCTTCTCTGTGATTTCAGTGGGATCATAATAGACTATGTGGTCATGCGGAACATAGAAGGATTCAGGGTCATGAGTCAAGTGAACCTCTAATCCCGGAATTGACATTCCTGTTCTTAAGTCTAGTCAATGTCATTAACTACTAAAACCTTACAGTAAGCTTCTGGAACAATCCTCGCATCTGGTTTTGTTGTGTCAGATGATGCAATGCACAGACGTTTCTAAAAAACCAAGGAGGATTTGAGCACGCATGGTGGATTCCTTCCTCGGGAAATCATCCATGATCCAGTCCGCATGGTGTCTTTGGGGGGGAAAGTGAGGTAATGGTGCCCATGCAGCTTTGTAGAGCATGACATTGGCTCTTCCCACTCTTCTAGGGTCCTGACCTCAGTGCGTCTCCTAAGGCTGTTCTTCCACGTGCATAAATGCGTCCTGCCCTCTGGCCACTCCTCGAGCTGGCCTTGCCTTGTGACCTGGCCTTTCTGACGGCTTGTCCTTCTAAGGTTCACGTACTGAACATTTGGTGTCCAGGTGGTGGTGGTACTTTGGGGGGTTCTGTAAACTCTAGATGGGGCTTATCTGGAGGACGAGGTGGTTGGGTGGGGGTGTCCTTGGCGGGATCTCAGATCCAGCTCCTTCTTGCTCTGCCCTTTGCTTCCTGTCTGCCATGAGGAGAGCATGTCTCTTCTGGCTGCTGCTAAGGTGTTCTGTCTAAGATCATGAGATGAACTGATCACAGACCCTAAGAATCATTTGATAGCGAGAACCCCAAGACTTCACGCTTTTACCTGTTCTCACAGGTGTTTAGTTGCAACTGGCTGAAAGCCCCTGGTCTGATCCCAGTCCCCAGGAGTCACATTGGCCTAAAGCCCTTGGTCAGATGGCCCTGGCTGTGGGTGGCTGAATTCCTAAATGGAGCCAGGTGGCGCAGGTCTTGCTCTGTGGCCTTCAGTGGTGGCAGCAGCAGTGGGCCTTGTCGTTTCCACTTGGGTCCGGAAATAACTGCTTGGAATAACTGTTCCTCCCTCCCTCAGCTCCTCCTTGACCCTCTTTGATGACTCTTCTCGTTAGTTCCTTCTTGTTACTTGGGGCTCACGTTTCCACTGGGCACTTGAAGACCCCCGTCTTCTGGGGAAGAGAAGCAGGCTCACTCCTAATGCTGTGTACGTAGGTAGTGATGGTGGTGCTGTGGGCCCCCTGTCACATGTCTGCATGCTGTGCATGCTCATCTTAGTCACCAGGCTCCTTACCCACTGGAGAGGAAGGGTGGTGGCAACCGTTGTACATTTATCCAGGAAGCACTGATAGGGACCATGAGGGGATGGATATACAAACACACACACATGCATACACACAATACATAAATATAATACATGTATACATACATAAATATTACACATGTACATATATACACACATACGTGCATGCATATGTTCATGCACACATGTGTGTATAGACATATATGATTTTCTTAGGTTAACTTAGGTTACGAGCAAGTTATCATTAACTTTGTGTTATGTGGCATATTTCTCTCCCTCAGTTTTTCTACTCAGGAAGAGACCTGAAGAGATGCAGAAGAGATCAAAATGGATGTCCAATAGGCAATAGGCTAGGATAATATACCTGACCTTCTAACCCCTTGGTTGCTTTCCCCAACTACGCTTCACAGACTTGTGGGTAAAGGATCCAAATCTGGGCCAGCCTGGAACCCTGCAGCAGCCCAGGATGGCCCAATCCCAGCTAGAAAGAAACTGAGATGTCCCAGCCCCAGCCGGCAAGGACCTGGCCTGACTCACCGTCTTCTGAGTATCCTCGAAGACTTCGCGGGCCTCTTCATAAGAACATACTTCTTCCATACACTCTCTTTCCAGATTTCCTTTCTTCACCTCTTCAAAAAGTGAGTTTGCCCTCCGAATCCTTGTCAGGACATTGCTGGCGCGTTCCCGGTTTATAAACACTACCAGACAGAGAAGGGCGAGGGTGAAGGGACCTCACCTGTCCCCAGGTGTCCTCTGGCTAGGGCCTTCACACAAGCTTTTCCCTGCCTGGTTCATTCCTCCCTGGTAGGAAGATGACCCTTCATTGTCAGCCTAGACTGAGACACCTCTGGGTGTGTCTGTGAGGGGCTTCCAGGTAGAACTAACTAAGGGGGAAAGATGCGCTGTGAGCATGGGTGTGTCGCCACCTGGCCTGGGAGCCTGGAGAGGGGAGAGGCAGGACCAGCAGACCGTATGTTCTCATTCTCCCTTCTCTCTGCTTCCTGGCTGCCATGAGGGGAACTGCTACACTCTGTCACACTCTCCCTGCCACGATGGATTGAGACCTCTGAGACCATGCGCCAAAAGAAACACTTCCTAAAGTGGCCTGTGCAGGTATTTGACCATCGTGATGGAAAAAGGACTGGTGTGCCCAGCTGCACACATGGGTCACTCCATCGCATGACTCCTCGGGAGGTCCACCACCCTGACCACCTCCACAGATCCATTGCACGACCCCTCAGCAGGTCTGCCACCCTGGCCACCTCCACAGATCCATCGCACGACCCCTCGGGAGGTCCGCCACCCTGACCACCTCCATATCTCTTGGACCCCTTGCCTTGTGCTGTTTCTGGGCATAGTACATGGCTGTTCTATGATGTTATGTATCTCTTGGTTTGCTGCTGTCATCTCTCTGGGAAAATAAACTTATGTGGTGCATCTATCTGCCTGTGGTTATAAACATAGGTGGTCCATCTGCCTGTGGCTATTCATAGGTCTAGAAACAATGCTACTTACTAAGCCCCTGTCCAGTGAATGAAGGCAGCTGGTCGGTTAAATCTTAATCAAAATTTAACCTTTTGATTAAATCAGTCTCTGTGAATGGCTTTGCTGGAACACTATACCCACACCCTAGACAGTCACGCAGACCCACCCTGCTGGCAGCCATAGGTTCTGATTTGAGTAAAATCAAGATTGGCAGCAAGAAATTAAAACACGGCAATGTTGTGAACACTCGTCCATGGGAACTGGCAAAGACTCTAATGTCCTGACACACGGCATCCTGCTGCCCAGTCCTGGCTGTGTGTTTTGCTGCTTGTGGCCTTTGATTTTCCAGCTCGGGCACATTGCTGCCCTCAAACATTGGGTTGTCTCTGTGGCGCCGACCTTGGCAGTTACTAGCAGGCATTGACCCATCGAGTGGGTGTCAGGTTTGCCAGTGGCGCTTTCCTCAGTCAGGCCCAAATGAGTGGGAAGGGCCCCTGTGTTGCTGAGGTTGTCCTGGTGCAAGGCCAGCTCTGTGTGAGTGGAGCCTGCTCTGGAGCAGGTCTGGGGGCTGCTTGTTGCCTGTTTGTACGACCTTGCCTTGTGCAGTCTGTGGCCCAGCTGAGCTTCCCAAGCTTGGGAGCCCCAGTTCCTGTCTCTCCCAGCATGTGTTTGGGGTGACTTTATCTCCTTTGTTTATCTTTCTCCTTATCTCTGTCCTCCTCTCTCTCCTCATCACTGTTCCCGTACTGCTCTGTCTCTGATCTGCTTCCCTTCTCCTCCTTTCTTCAGGCCTGTCACCCTTTGTGCCCTGCATGAGTAGTCGCAGCTGGCCCTAACTATACCAGCAGAAGCCAGCCTGTGGCTGGATCAGTGCACCTACCACCCCGCCCTTCCCACTACCCACCCTCATGCCCTCCTCCTGGGCCACTCGGCAGTGTGAAGGGCTGGAGCACTTACCGCTTCTTCCAGGTGACAGGAGGCTGGCCAGGGCAACATAGAGCAGGCTGAGTCTCAGCGGGCTCTCCATGGTGTGGTCAAGGACAGCAGCTGCTGGGACAGGCGTGGGGGCAAGGTTCACTTGCCCTGGGCCCCAGGTGGCCATGGTCCTCCTGCTTATCTCAGCCTTCTGATTGGAGCCCAGGCCAGCAATGAGGTCAGGGGACTGGGAACTGTGGACACCAGCCCCAGCCTTTTCCGGGCTGGCTATCCTTATCCCAAACTGCCTGGAAGGGCCTGCTTTGCACTGAGAGCAGTAATAGCATTTTCTAATACTCACCCTACCCCCTGTTAGTTGAAGTGGGGGTGAGGCAAGCCTGGGTACCAGGGCACAAGTGGGGTTTGCACCCAAGTCCCCAATCCTCTGGTTGGCCCAGCTAACTCTGGCCACAGATGTAAGTGTGAGGCTTGTGTGTCCCTTGGACGATGGCTATGCAATCTAGTCATGGAAGCAGGCCGGGCTGCTGGGGGACAGGAGCCCTGAACTTCTGGTGTCCTGACACAAGCTCTCTTCTCTGATATGTGACATCTAGGAGAGGCCACAGGGACCCAAAGCACACATCAGGGTTGGTAGGAGGCGGGTGTCTGCCCCTGCCCTCTGGGCCTGCCACTTCCAACCACAGGCCTGGAGGATGGGGAGTGGGTGAGAGGAGCTTTGGTGTTTGGTAGTCATGGCCACCTCTGCAGAGCCTATGGTTCACACCTGGGGCTGGTTCTGCAAAGGGGTGGCCATTTCCCCTCAGTCCTGAAAGAGGAGACCAGAGAAGGACAAGTTGTTTGAGGGCTGTGAAGGTGGAAACAGCTCCTTGCCCACTCTGTGGTCATGTGACTCTGCTGGGAGTGTGTATGCGTGTATGGGGGCTGCTCCAGGCAGTGGTGGGGGTGAGGGGTGGGGCGGTTTGCCTTGAGCCCAGAAATCTTTCTTGGAATGTCAGCCTTTGAGGCTCTGAGCTTGTGGCCCATCGCTAGGAGGCACCCCTGGAAGTTTATGCTTCAGAGTCCCTGGAAATCAAGAGCAGCAGCAACAACGAAACTCAAAGATTTGTCCTGTGAGGGACAGTGCTCAGCTGTCTCCACCTTCTCCATGTGGACCAGGCTGCTGGCACTCCTGCTGACCCAGTCCTCTTTAGAAACCTTATCTGGTGGGGATATTTTTGAGCCTGGGGAGTATGCACTTCAGTGTGCAGAACGGTACTGGCTACAGCCTGTGCCACCTATGGTGATTGATTAGGCAATGGCTCAGGACTGGCTGCACACACGTAGCCAGAGATTACTGGAATGGTGCTTGCCAGATGTCGAGGCTGGTGCTGGCATCTCACCAGGAAGTCACTGCCATTAATCAGGCTGTGCCAGACTGCAACAGGACTTGGAAAAAAATGTATGGTGCTCTAGTGGCCGCCAACTGGTGTCTGACCTCTGCCCTGCCTGGTGATGCCTATATGGAGGTCTCAGTGCCTACACTGAATCTGTGATGGCCTCAAGGGTGAGGTGGTGAGGTACTCATAGCAGACATGTGACCTGGGATTAGGTCCTTCCTTTGTACCCGGCCCTCTCTCTGGCCCCAATCCCAGGAGTGTTGATTGGAAAGTAAGCACATCCCATGCTGATCACACCGTCTTCTGGGAGCTAGATTCTCAAGTAAGGCCTCTCAAGGTCTCCTGGTGCCATCTCAGGACAGCTCTGTGAGCTGGGTACATGTGTTACCTACTAATGGACAATGAGGACAACCCTCTTGGCTCCCTCTCAGCCCACTGTCCCTTTCTTCCCAGGAAGAACAGCCCTACTGATGTGCATCTGACTCCATCGGAGGCTCCACTCAGGGAGTTAAGGCCAATCCAGGAGGGCAGCAGGCATCCCCAAGGTGTGCTGAGAAGGTCAGCCACTCACTGTCAGGCGGGCGGGAAGCAGTGAATGGCGGGAGTGCACACTAACTCAGAAACACTCCTTGGGAAACCTGGAAGGATGAAGCTGCACGCTCAGAAGATGTTTCTTGTTTAATTGAAATAAAGACGGGGTACTCAGGCAAAAAAGAAAGAAATGAAAGTGAACAATAGTGCAGATGGTGTATACATCATGAGTTATGTGCACATGCATGTGCATACACATGTTCTATTGCATGTGTGCACACTGCAGCACTGCAGGCAGAGCACATGTAGATGGGAGGCAACTGCAGGGAGGCAGCAGCAAGGGCTGGACCTCATCTCCCTCAGGACCACCCTGCCCCTTTGGGTTGCCTGTCTGTGGCTCTACCATCTCTACCATCCTGTCCCTCTGAACGTCTCTGTCAGTCTCTCATTCAGGCCCCTCCTTCTGCTTCTCTTCTTGTTTTCCTCTCTCCATTATCTCTCTTTCTGCCCCTTTATCTCTTTCTCCTTCCCTACCCCAAGAATAGCAGGAGACTCAATAGGATTTGATACAAAACAGCTCTACATAGCAGCATCTTCCTCCTCGGGAAAGACTGGGCTGTCCAAGGAGTTATAGTAGCTCGACTCGATGAATCCCAACCTGGAGCTTGGAGTTCATGAACTTGATCAGCCATTCTGTGTACCTGGAGACCCTGGTGTACACCCCAACATGGCCAACAGCTGCACAGCCCTCCCCCCAGCTGACCACACCTGTCAGGTACCAGGTGCCACGGTAGTGTGTGGCGTGGGGGCCGCCACTGTCTCCTTTACAGGCGTCCTTCGTGCCATCCATATAGCCAGCGCAGAACATGTTGTCTGTGATCTGGGGGGTTTGGGGACTGTGCTTGGCGTGTTCCAGGCAGTCCTGAGTCATCATCCGGGGCACTTCGACAGCCATGAGCTCCAGGGCTGTGGCCCCGCGGTCCAGCAGCTGGCCCCAGCCACTGACCCTTGAGAAGCGGATTCTGGATAGGGTTCTCTCAGAGAAGGTCCTTTCGGGCAGACACAGGGGTACCACGTGGTCAGTGAAGGTCACAGGTCGGTTGAGGCGGAGCAGGGCAATGTCGTGGTCGATCTTGCCTCGGATGTACTTTTTAGGAATAATGACCTGTATGACCCGTCGTACCTGCTCGGTCCCATCCTTCTCGCTGAAGTCATGCTCACCTGAGAGGAAGCCATTCCACTCAGGGCACATACCCTACCATGTGTGGCCATACCCTCACACAGAACTCTTGTTT